GGGGGGTGTTGGGGGGGGCCCCCCCCCCCCCCCCCACGCGGACTGACCTCCCCGGCCCTGGCCCGGCTCTGGCAGGGGGTGACGCGGCTGCTGCTCACCAGGATCCCGTTCTTCCGCGAGGTCATCGTCAGCTCCTTCGCGTGCGGCAGCTGCGCCTGGGCCAACACGGAGATCCAGTCGGCTGGGCGCATCCAGGAGCAGGGGGTGCGCTACACCCTGGCCGTCACGTCCCGGCAGGTGGGCCCGCGGCGGAGCCCCGGGGAGGGAGGAAGGGCGGGAGGCTGCTCGGTCGGGTCCGGTCAGGCGGCAGAGAGGAGGCTTTCCGCACGTTAAGGAAGGAGTCCTGGCCTGGCCGACGAGGACACTTGTCCTGGAAGCTGGTGCAGGACAATGCCTCGAGCGTCCTGTGAGCAGCAAACAGCTCAAACAAAGCCTGCGCAGCTTCCACTGGCACTGGCAGAGCTGGGGCCTGGGCTGAGCTGACAGCTGGCTCGTTAACGCTCAGGTGCTTATCAGGCTGGGATCTCTCTTGACCCCAGCAGACTTCCTGCCCCTGGGGCCGGGGGCTGGACCCCATGATCTTGTGAGGTCCCTTCGAGCCCTAACGTCTGTGAAACCTCTGTAGCGTTGTTCCCTGCTCTCCCCTCCGTGAGGGACCAAGCGCCCCCTTGAAGGAACCTGGAAACCGGGCCTAGAAGCCAGGGGTGGTTGTGCTGTCCGTAAGGGGAGTTCAACCAGAGGCAAGATGGGGAGGGGGAAATTGAGGTGGGTTTGAACCAGGACCTCAATTCTGTGGGCTTCCTTAGGGGCTGCCCTGAGAGCTGCTGCTCCAAGTGCAAAGCCCATTTCTGGGACCCCTCCCTTCCCCCATGAGTAGTTAAATGAATTTTTTCTTAAAAAAATTGAAAGCCCTCCCATAACAAAACAGTCCAGTGCTTAGGCTAGTCTCCTAGGTAGGGTGAGAAAAGACACAAGGCTGCTGTTGGCTCTAATGCATCTCGGCACCTTCCTGCAGTGCTGCAGCGATTAGTGTAGGAACTGAAATACAGGTGTCTCGTGGTGTTGGGGTGTTTATTTTGCAGAAGCAGTCTTGCTGCTATGACTGCACAGAAACGGTAAACAACTCCTGTCCTGTTGCATGCATTTAATCTCTTTAAATTGTTTTGCTCAGGATGTAAACAGGGAGGTGGTGAAGACCGACTGTGCCACAGCTAGGATCCCAGAGCTCGACTTTGAAATCCCTGCTTTTTCACAGAAGGGAGGTGGGTAGGTGATCTGTGCGCATATGGGTGTCGCGGTGTGTTTGGTCATGGCGTGGCAGGGGCTTTGTGGAGGTGGCCGCCTGAAGGTGTGGGGAGCCTGGATTTTTGGCTTTGCTATCTTAAATTGTAGCACTTTCCCATCGTGGGCCCCAACTCTTCCATCTGCTAGTCTGCCTGAAGCAACACCGGATCCTGAAATGCCTGGCAGAAAGAGTGGGTTTTGCAGCTTAGCCTGTGCCTCACCTTTAACACAAGCCTGTAGAGATCTGGTGACTGGTCAGTTGTCTACTGACAAGTGCATGGTGAATCTGTGGGTGGATAGTGCTGTCTCAGCAGAGAAGTGACAGTCAAACAGGATCTTGTTTCCATCTGGGAGGGTGGGGAAGAACCCTAAAAGGGCATGGTGAGGCAGGAGTGTGAACAGTTGGGTCTGAGGCAGCCAGATTGGCAGCATTGCCCTGCCATGCTTAATGTTGTTCTCTTCTTTTAAGCTCTTACCACCATCGAGGGGATAATTGACAGAGCTGTAGCTGGCCTGGAGCAGGATCAGCCAGTCCGCAGGGTAAGATGCCATGAGAGAGAGTGCCATCTTGAGAGGCCTGCTTGTAGGTCACGCTGGTTTTTTACAAACTTGATTGTTGTTGCCCGTTGCCTACTAGCTGTTGAGCTCCGGGCATCCAGAGGTCTCTGACTTGTGCCCCTGACAGCACTGTCTGGAGATTCAGGTTGCTCCAGGGAGCTACATTTTGGATGATTCATTTCACAGGCAACAGACCAAGAGGTTGCAGATAAAATAGATGAATTCATTGACAAGCTAAAGCGGCTGAAGGAGGTGGATTCCTCTTTCACCTTTGTAAGTACTGGCTGGAGTAGGTAGCGATGGAGCTGCTTCTCTTCTGGAGGCAGTCAGAGCGGTTTCTCACACTTCCTGTCTTCTGATTTTTTTAGATCCTTGATGACCCCTCAGGTAACAGCTTTGTGGAGAATCCTCATGCACCACAGAAGGATGAAGCGCTGGTGGTCACTCATTACAAGAGGACTCCCCAGCAGGCTGTGATGCTTGGACTTGAGGTAATGCAGTCTAGTGAGAGGGAGCTGGGAAGTGTGTATCCCTCCTTTGTCTGTCGGGGGAGTGTTGTTGAGTAGCAGAAGTCCTCCCCTTTGGGCTTCCCCCGAAAGTCCCTGACTGGAGAATCAAGTGCAGGGAGCAGTCTGCACACTGTTGGTCTCTGCTGTTTCAGGCAGATGAGCCAGAGGAGAAGCCAGTTGACGCTTTGGAGGACCTGAGGAATGAAGTGAGTGATCTTTCTGACAGGCTTTCTGGATCTAAGTGCGCTGCTTAATCACTCTTTCAGCAATGCCCCAGTGCACATGGTGTTGCATGGGCCAAGGCATAGGATTGCCCAAAACGTCCAGCTTGCTGGACTAGGCCTCGCACTAGAGCAATCGGGGGCCATGCATATCTAGATAAAAACTCGTTCTGAGAAGAATGTGCCTTCCAGACATGCATCCAGTGCATCAGCTCAGATGTTTCGCTTGTCCTTACATTCTAGGTGTTGCAGTTCAACACCAATTGTCCTGAATGCAATGCTCCTGCCAATACAAATATGAAGCTAGTACGTATCCTTTTGTGGTGAGCAGATGACCAGTACAGGTGGAAGGCCTTCCTCCCTCACAGGATCTGTGATGGGGAGAGCCTCAGGAATTCTCTTCTGCATGTTGGCTGGGTTCCTTTTCCTGCAGGACATCCCTACAGAAACGATCTAATCTGATATCCTGTGACAGTGTGACCGTCCCATGGGAGATCCACTTGTGGCTTGGAAGCCTGTGTAGGAATCCTTATAGATCCAATGTTTAAACTGGAACCAAAGGCTGCAAATTGGGTACTTCCTGTAAAAATTGCTCCTGGCTGTGGTGACTTGCACCCTTGGGCCTTAACATGTCAGCCCCCACCTCTCATTCAGCAAAGGTTGCGTCCTCGTGCAAAGTAGGTGGCGCTGGGACTACTGAAGCATAGGGGAAGATCTTGTTCCTTTTTTTTTTTTTTTTTCCCTTGACTGCTGCAGAAATTCCACATTTCAAGGAAGTGATCATTATGGCTACGAACTGTGAGGCTTGTGGGCACAGGACAAATGAGGTGAGCTGCTAGTGTGATCTTCCTGCTTGTTGGGACAGTTGGAAGAGGGCCTTTGCTGCCCTCTCTGCAGGGACAAACTTGTTTTCTCTGCCTGCTTCTCCACCTCGGACCCTCGCCCATTCTTCAGAGCAGACTGCAGACACTGGGGGTTATTGGATGCTTTTCGTGGCATGTATTTAATTGGGCATAAGCTTGTCTTGCATGATGCTTGCTTCGGTGCCTCTCTGGTAGGGAGCTGCTTGTATTCCCAGCCTGCCTACTTCTGGGTGCGTAGACTTTAAACCTCTGGGGTCTTGAAAGGTTTGTAAACTGTCGGCTGTTGGGGGAGGGGGGTCTTGTTTCCCAGACAGTTTAAGGATGGCAGGACTTCATTGTTCTCATGCTAGCCGTCTGAGGCAATACCTGCAGTTCAAACATCCTCCTGCTAGTCGCTTAGCAGATGGAGTTGCATGACTAATGTCTGCCCCAAGCCATCTGTTGGGGACCCTAGGACTGAGGAAGTGTCCTCTGTAAGGTACCCTAAATGCTGTTTCACTAACTGCCAGTCTGTATTTAGGTGAAATCTGGAGGAGCGATAGAACCAGAGGGCACCAGGATCACCCTTCATATCACAGATCTCTCTGACATGACGAGAGACATCCTCAAGGTAATGTCTCCTTTCAGAGCCCCCTTTCTGCTCTGGGGGTTCTCTTGTTCTTGCTTGCATCTAATTTGGCAGGAGGCACAGCAGTAGGCTCCTGGGTCTTATTCTGACTCGTGATCTGCTTGCTGTGGTCTTGGCCCTGATGGTGGACTGTGGTGTCAGAGGACAAGTCCATAGCCTCTCTTTAGACCCCCTGGCACAACATATCTAAACACGCTGCTCTTTTTTGTTTGCTGCAGTCCGACACATGTAGTGTGGAGATTCCAGAGCTGGAGTTTGAGCTGGGAATGGGAGCCCTGGGGGGGAAATTCACCACTCTGGAAGGGCTCCTGAAGGACATCAGAGACCTGGTAAGCAGCTTGTACTGGGGAGACTGGGTGCAACTGAAGTTTGCTTGCAGCTGTGCGGCATAGATACCAGTGAGCTGGTGCTAATGGGCCTGTAGGACTGTCTGGGGCTCACTGGGCAGAGCCAGGGATCAGCACAGCTCCTGCTACTCTGCAGCCTTCCCTGCCCTAATCTAAAGGTCTGAGCTGTTAGTCTCAGAAAATGAGCCTACAAGACCATACTGTGGGCAGAGGTGTAGAAGGGCACTGTCCTTCCTGGTCACCTATTCCTGTTCCCTGTTGACTGCACCAGGGTTTAAAGCCCTGGGGAATGTGGGCACAATCAGCAGGCAAGCCATTGCTGTATGTTTATTATTAAACCTGAGTTAGTTTCACTTGGCCTGTGTGTGTTGCAGGTGGAGAGGAACCCCTTCACGCTTGGGGACAGCTCTGCCCCAAGCAAAGTGGAGAAGCTGCAGGAGTTTGGCAGAAAGCTGCAGCAGGTTGGTGTCTTTCAGCTTAATTGGCAAGTGCTTCAGATTAGTTTCCTCCAGATTTGAAGTGCATGTAACTGAAATCTGAGGCATGTAGGTGGTGTTCTCCAGACACCTTCCACCAGTGTCCCCTTGTAAATGGGCTGCATGGTGGGATTTATAAGTCTTGCTTCAGAACTATTAATATTCCTGAGTGGAATATCAACCAGAACACTTAACAGTCTGTTGAATGGTGAAGGCAGTCAGAATATCTTCCAGTACCTTTCTCTGCCTGATACGGGGATGTACCTTTGTCAGTGAGACTGACCATGAGCACCTGACTTGAGATTTGTGATGGAGGCTTCATTCCTAAAGGGGGACACCCAGGGTCTGCTGAGCCCTTCAGCAGTGGTTGTTACAGCTGTTGATCTCTGTTTCCCCAGATCATGGAGGGGCAGATGGAGGCTCACTTCATTATGGATGATCCTGCAGGGAACAGCTACCTTCAGGTAAGCAGGGCAGTTGTGAAGGCAATTCCCTGAAGTCTCCTTAATAATTGCTGATCAGAGAATAATCAGCAGAACCTGCCCTGCTATTCAGCAGCCAAGGGCCTGTGAAGGGGCTGAATGGGGAGAGAATAGGTTAGTTTAGCCACCCTCTTGTAGCTCTAGTTAAACTCAAGGAGTGGAGTCACACTGGCAACTGCTGGGAGCACGGGGAAACTGGATGGGAGACCTGTGGTGAAAGCATAAGGAGCTAGGACTGGACTTTGTTTCCCATCTGCTCTTGACCTCTTTGGTCTGGGGCAGGGTGTTCAGTGCCTTGTTCCTGTGTAAGCGTTGGGGAAAGCCAAGGGTTAGTCTGCTTTTTTTTCTCGGAGAAAGGGTGAAGCTTCACTGAGTTCTGAGGTCCCTTCCTGAATTTCCCAGTGAGTTCCTAGCGTGTGCTGCTGCCTTGGGGACCAGCCAGGCTGCAGGAAAGGTGGCTGACTTGGACTTTCTTTCTGGACCCTCAGAACGTGTATGCTCCAGAGGAAGACCCAGAGCTGAAGGTGGAGCACTACGAGCGCACATTTGAGCAGAAAGAGGAGCTGGGTCTCAATGACATGAAGACAGAAGGCTATGAGGCAGGGCAGACCTCGGACCGGTAGCAGCACATGGAAGGCGGAAGTCAAGCTGGCTTAACTAAATGATTGTTGTTTGACTCGAGTGGAGGAGCTGGATTGTCCAGCACTTGAGCCATGCTTTTTCTTTAGGCAGCCTGAGGGCTCGCTCCCTTTTACCTTTTGAAAGCGGACAGCTGGGCATGTCCCATGAGGTAAACACAAAAGACACTCGGAGTCTGTCGCCATCCTTATTGCAGAGACCTGTTTACACTTTTCCTTATGCAACTGTAATCTAGATGTCTGGGTTTCTGATTCTGTTCTTGTCAACCATATTGCCTTGAGCTGCACCAGCAAGGGTTAATGGGATCCTTTCCCTGCAAGGGGTGGTGTGGAGCCTCTGTTTTGCTGCTGGTATCGCTACTGCCAGCCCAGTTTCTATTTGAAGAAGTAACCACTGTCTCCTTTCCCTATGCTGTGTTCCACTGTACAGTCCCAAGTAACGTAAATAAAGTGGTTTCACTAAGTGCAAGTGTTCTCTTGTGCATGTTGCCAGGCTTGGGCAGGGAGCTGGTCTTGGTTGCTGAAGTCTGCCCCAGGTGGTGTGATGCAGGGGGGCCTGTGTGGGTGAGGGGAGGCAGCAGCCTGCTGAATAAGTGGTAGATCATCTGCTGCAGTCCCAGCTCTGCCCCCAAAACGTTGGATTCAATTGCATAGGGAACAGCTGATGCTTGGGACTGAGTTATGATCATAGACAGCTCCTGCAAGGCTGATGAGCGGGCATGACTTGTCCTTTTCTGTTATGACTCCAGTTTGAATTTGCAGTCGCAAGCCAGGCAGTTCCAGGCTGGCTTGCACCTTCCTGGATTTAATTTGTCCCCATCGGCCCCAAGCGGTTGGTAGGGGCAGGCTGCGCTCTGGGGCTCGTCCTTGGAACAGCTGCTCCCTGGCCCCGCACGAAGCTGGGGGTGCTGCACCTTCCCCCGGGGTGCTTTGACCCCAGCAGCAGCTGAACCTCCTGGGGCTGGGAGGGAACCGCTTGCAACCGCAAGTAGTACCGAGCCGGGGCAGGCACAGACCACGTGCCGCGGCGCGAGCCGCTTTACTTCCGCTTCCGCCGTGCCCCTCGCCTCGTAGTTGCTTCCGGTTCGTCCCGGTAGCCGCTTCCGGTGTGTCATGGCGGCGGCGCCGGGGCTGAGCAAGGCCGAGTACCTGCGGCGCTACCTGGGCGGCCCCGACGCGGCGCCCGGCGGGAAGCGGCGCAAGCGGCGCAGGAAGGCGCCGGGCGGCAGCGGGTGAGCGC